TCGCCGAGTTACTCCCCAACTTCACCCAGCTATTCCCCAACCTCTCCCAGCTACTCACCAACATCGCCGAGTTACTCCCCAACTTCACCCAGCTACTCCCCAACCTCCCCCAGCTACTCACCAACATCTCCTAGCTACTCTCCTACGTCTCCAAGCTACTCACCAACTTCCCCAAGCTACTCACCTACCAGTCCTAACTACTCTCCAACCAGTCCTAATTACACCCCAACATCACCGAGCTATAGCCCAACGTCACCTAGCTATTCGCCTACGAGTCCCAATTACACCCCAACCAGTCCTAATTACAGCCCAACTTCTCCAAGCTATTCCCCAACTTCGCCCAGCTACTCACCAACCTCTCCAAGCTATTCACCCTCAAGTCCACGGTACACACCACAGTCTCCGACCTATACACCAAGCTCTCCCAGCTACAGCCCCAGCTCTCCCAGCTATAGCCCGACTTCACCCAAGTACACCCCGACTAGTCCCTCCTACAGCCCCAGCTCACCAGAGTACACCCCAACCTCCCCCAAGTACTCACCTACCAGCCCCAAATATTCACCTACTTCTCCCAAGTACTCTCCTACCAGCCCTACCTACTCACCCACCACCCCAAAATACTCACCAACATCTCCTACCTATTCACCTACTTCTCCAGTCTATACCCCGACCTCACCCAAGTATTCACCTACCAGCCCCACGTACTCCCCCACTTCCCCCAAGTACTCCCCCACCTCCCCCACCTACTCCCCCACCTCCCCCAAGGGCTCCACCTACTCGCCTACTTCTCCTGGCTACTCCCCCACCAGCCCCACCTACAGCCTCACCAGCCCGGCCATCAGCCCAGATGACAGTGATGAGGAGAACTGAGGGTAAGCAGGGCTCAGCAGCAGCTGGCTAGGCTGAAGGGCCTTGGCCTGGGGCAGTCCCCACCTCCTCCTGGGCTGTGACCCCAGCCCAGCCCCCTTGTACATAATTCCTTGTGACTGTTCCTGTTGAAGTTCTAGGTCCCATTTCTGATGAGGCTCTTTGTCTTGTTCTCCACTTGTGCAGTCCCAGAACCCACTGACCTAGCTGTGGGGCTCTTCCTACCCACCTACCCCATGCCTGACCCTACAGCGAAGGTTCTTCCTTGCCTGTGGTTTGATGGGGGTTCATGGTATTCTGACTTTGTAGGGATAGTTCCTGCTCTGGGTCATGCGTCTGATCCTCGGAAAGAACAAAGCTCAAGCTGCCTTTTGTCTGTTATTTTATTTTTTTGAATTTCATTAAAGTTTACTAATTTTGACCAAAAATCTCTACACTGAATGCTTATTTGGTGCTTGGGGAGGGCAAGATATTTCCAGACTCCTACCCTATCCCAGCTACTCAACAGCAGAATGATCATCTCAATCTTACCACTAGGAGGCCTACTTCTTTATTTTCCTACATATGTAAATCTTAACAAAAACACGTTTTCGTTTTGGCCTCAGGCCAGGAATCAAAAGATTAGGAGTGCTGTGAAGCTACAGCTAACGCTAACAGGCTTGGGGACAGCTGGTGGTTTTTAATGTGTGTGCTACTAAAGCAAACGCTAATTGGCTGTTTTTAGTCTGCCATTTGTTTCACTAGTACTTGTATTTTAATTGCATTTCTGGTTACTATACTTAGGGGCCTTTGCATTGAGGTACATCTTCTGCCTTTTATTAATTTTAAAATGTTTCAGAGAATGGGGAGGGGTGTTCAGTACTTTCGACATACATAACCCAGTGTGTTGGTGCAAATCTGCAGTCCCAGAACTCTGCAAGGCTACAGAAGGGGAATCACAAGCTGGAGGCCAGCAGGGAAACCCAGTGACTTAGTGAGATTGTGTCTCCAAAAAAAGCCTGAAAACCCCAGCCTAAGAAATGAATCTTGTGCTCCTTTACGTACCTCAGCATGATATGCCTTCCAGTTTCCCAGCACTGTGGATGCTGTACTATATGTACGCCTTTAAGGACATTTAATGTTTTTGAGCTTCATATAAAATTCCATTGTTGGGCGAGGGAGATACCTTGGCTACATAAGTGCCTGCCTTGCAAACACAGTCCTGAGCTTGATCCCCGGTACCACATATGCCAATACCACATAATGTGCTGGCACCCTGTTCCTGCCCAGAAATGGTGTGGTGGTACAAGTCTAATCCCAATGCTGGGGAGGCTGACAGAACAACTGGGGGCCTTTGCATTGAGGTACGTCTGAACTCCATAGCGAGACCCTGTATCAATAAAAATAAAAAATCCCATTGTGTCCTCTGATTTGCTTTTTTTTTTTTTAAAAAAAAAAATTGTTATTTTTTGATGTGCTTTTGGAAACACCAATCTTGGCTGGATGTGGTGGTGTGATGCCTGTAATCTCAGCACTGGGGTGTAGGGGCTGAGGCAGAATCCCCTCAAGTTCAAGGCCAGCCTGGGCTACATAGTGAGATCCTGTCTATAAAAAAAAGAAAAGCCAGATGTGGCACGTGCCTATAATCCCAGCACTCAGGAGACTGAGGCAGGAGGATGGTTGAGTTTGAGACCAGCCTGGGCTACAAAGTGAGCTCAAAGCCTGCCTGAGCTGCACAGGGGAGACCCCATCTCAAAAAGATAAGGAAAAGAAAGTCAACATTGAGTCCCACCCCCTGGGGTGCGCTGAGAGGGTGATTGAGGCTGGGTGTGCTGGTGCGCCCGTAATCCCAGTGCTTGGGAGGCTGAAAGAATCATTCAAGTCTGATCTGTGTAGTGAGACATTGTAGATGCTGTACTAAAACACAAAGCAACATTAAGTTGAGGATAGACCGTATCGTATGGGTTAGAGATGTACAGTAACAGTGGCTGTTGTAGCATTGCCACCCTGAAAATTCCTGTCACCCACCCAGCTGTGTACAGAGGCACACGTGGAGGTGCAGCTGCTGGCTCACTTGCTGTGCCCGGGTGCTGTGGTGCGGGGTGGGTGCCCACCGAAGTGTTGGTGCTCGCAAGAGCTGGGGCTTTTGAGAAGCGCTTTGCCCTGAGGAAGGGACTGCTGCCTTCATGAAATGACCTTCAGCAGGGAGCTTGCTTCTCTGCTCTTCCACTCTCCTGCCAGGGAGGACATAGTGTCTGTTCCCTCTTGCTCTTGCATGTCTCCTTTCCACTTGAAGACTCACTTGTACCCTCTGGAGGACACAGAAGTACAGTACAGACCTCACTAGACCCTGAAGCTACACCTTTGTGTTGGGCTTTGTAACCTCCAGAACTATGAGAAATATATAATTATGAATTACTGGTCTCAAGCCAGCACTCAGGAGGCTGAGGCAAGAGGATCACCATGAGTTTGAGGCCATCCTGGAAAATCCTGTCTCAAAAAAAAAAAAAAAAAAAAAAGATACTAATAGTTTACCGTGTTGCCTCCTGCCAGTGAGGATTCCCTTGTTCCAAAACAGGTGTTGGGGCCGGGGAGACGGCTCAGTAGAATAAGCACTTGCCTGGCAAGCACAAGTGCCTGAGTTCAATCCCTGGTTCTGCCAAAAACAAACAAAATAAACAGTATTTCCACAACAGGTGTGAGTCACCATGCTAGGTGAGTTTAATTTATTTTTTTGCATGTTTTAAAAAATGGATCCCGCGGCCCGGGGAGATGGCTCAGTGGAATAAGCGCTTCCCTGGCAAGTGCAATGGCCTGAGTTCAATCCCCGGTTCCGAAAAAAATAAATAAATAAAAAAAAAAAAAAAAAAAAAAATGGATCCCGGGGCCGGGGAGATGGCTCAGTGGAATAAGCGCTTGTCTGGCAAGTGCAAGGGCCTGAGTTCAATCCCCGGTTCTGCAAAAAAAAAATAAAAAATAAAAATGGATCCAACAGCTCAGCTGGCATGCCGTACCAACCCTGGCCCCAGGGTGCGCTGCAGGGATTGAGACTGGGTGTAGTGGCACACACCTGTAATCCAAGCGCTTGGGAGGCTGAACACAGGAGTCTGATCTACATAGACCCTGTAGACCCTGTCCTAAATACAGAAAAATAAATCCTATCCATATTCTACACAATATTCTCTGTGTTTGCCTCCTTCAATAGTGCTGAGGATCAAAACTGGGTGGACCTGGAAACAGGATCATCTCAAAATCAAGGCCAAATAGTGATTCAAGACCAGTGCTAGAGGTATAGTTCAGTGGCGCTGTGCATGCCTGGCATGTGTGAGGTTCTGAATTCAGTTCCCAGTCTTCAGTAGTTGCTCAGCTCGCAGATATCAGCATACATAGCCAAAGTGAAAATTCTAAATATCAACTGCTATTTTCAAAAAACTGATGGAAATTATTAGTACAATCATCCCAGCCATTGTGTATATACTTGCATCACCAGAGTGGGTGATTCCCAGACTTTTATAGAGGAAAACGAAGCAGTGAGGTGGGTCTAAGATGGTGAACATGGGAACTACCTTAGGTGGGCATGAGGTGAGACAAGACTATGGTCAACCAATGGGATTACAAGCACCATTGCTCAGGTAAAATTGATTAAATCCAGTATCAAATGGGAAAGCGAGTCACGTAGCAAGAGGGCATGAATATGGGACAGGGTCTCTTCCTGTTGGGGGTTGGGCTAGTGACTCATTTGGGCTCTTTCAAGTTGATTGATACTATTTAGGATATCAATCCCTAGTGCCCATTCCTAGGGAAGTATGTAGCTGTGCTTCCTCTTTTTGTCTTGGTCTTTAGGTGTGGCCCATATGGGAGTGTCTGTCTCTTCCAAGTTGCAAAGTCACCTTGTCTTCCATCTTGTCTCCGTGAGGGCCTGGCCCTGTCTGACTGCCTATAATATTTCTGTCTAACTCGGCTGCCTGCAGCATTCCCCCCTCTGAAGAAGTAACCTGAACTGTCTTGAGGGAAATATGGGCGATGACCACTCTGGCTTCTTCAAGCTTAAACGAGTCATAGTTGTTGACCGGCAGTCAGATATATTTTTCAGAGGTTCTATCTAAAGGCCCTCAATAAACACCACACATTTTCATTACAGTTTTGAATCTGAAGACAAAGGCAAAGAAACTATTAAACATACATTGGCCAAATAAAAACACTAGTCAGAACATTTTTTTAGGTCCATTAGCAGAGATCTCTTAAA